ACAAATAAAATTTTATTGATATTTTTAGAAAAAAAACTAAAAAAAGGTGCTCTGCTGGACAGTATGTTATAAGTAGATCACAGTATAATGGATGATATCAAATTTGAATTCAATGATATAATATCATTGTATAAGAAAAACGATTCTGAGCGGAGACGGTATGTCAGTTTAGGTATAAGGCATATTATATACTTATCTATGGTATTAAAAAAAATTGACCTATTATAGGTTCCTATGATAAATTCCAAATTAATCATATCACAATAACCATTAGGTACGTACTTATAATGCGTAATATACGTCAACAACAAACCCTGATACTATCATAGTCCATACTCCATAGATATATAACAGTGTACTTTAGAAATTTCAAGTACCCACGAATAATATTATGTAATCACAACAAAATAACTAAAATAGTTGTTATTCTATGTTTTTTTATATAATTTCATCCAAATTTGAACTTAAAATGACTATAAAAATAAACTGTGCTTATGTATTTTTAATATTTTTCAACTTAATTATTTTAACTTAAAATTTAAAAATTTAATTTGACTTTCTTATAGACATTTTTTTTTGTTGATAAATTTAGATTATCTTATAAGGAATCTTATATAACATTTTAAAACCTTAAATTTAAAAAGAAAAATTTTTACGAATTCTTAACAAAATAATTTGCTAATTTTCGTGATTTTTCCATATTTTGTCAATTTTTGAACTTTAAATGCTTATAAAAAAAAACTGTGACTAAGGATTTTAAATATTTTTCAAGTGCCATTGTAACAATATAGTAGGAGCCTTGTATTAAATTTTCAAGCTTTTTTAACCAACAAATAAGAAAAATTTAGAAAAAAAACTAAAAAAAAATGGATAATGAAAATGTGCCTAAACAGTTCAAAATAAATCAAAACATTTTGAAAATATTATCGTGTATAGAAAATGTTAATATAAACATTCAGTCAAAATTTCATGTGCCTACGGTCATTTGTTTAAGAGTTGCACCAAAAACCAAAATCGATTTTTTCGAAAACAGATTTTGTGTAAAAATTCCCGTTTTTCCTTAATCTTTATTTTGTTTTTCACGCCGCTTTTGAAAACTACTGAGAAATTTTCACTTTTGACCCTCAAAGTACCAACTAGATTCATTTTCCTATCAGAAAAGCTACTGTAGAAGAAAATCCAAGCACTTTTACTGTCCTAAAATGTAATGACAGACACGAAAAAAAATTAAAAAATTAAAAAACAACACACATCATTGTAAAATCAATACATTCATCGTTCCACTTAGAATCTAAAATGGAAACTTAAAATGCCTTAAACAGTTCAAAATAAATCAAAATATTTTGAAAATGTTATCGCGTATAGAAAATGCAAATATTCAGTGAAAATGTCATCTACGGTCATTTGTTTTAAAGTTACACCAAACACCAAATTCAATTTTGTAAAAAATCTATTTTGCGTATAAATTCCCGTTTTTCCTTAGTTTTTCTTTTGTTTATCTTGGCTTTTGAAAATTGATGGGATTTTAAATTTTGACCTACAAAATGCACCAACGATATTCACTTTCTAATCGAACTAAATACTGAAGTTGAAAATCGAAGCATTATTTCGACTACCTATCGTGTACACAAACACAAAAAAAATAAATAAATAAATGTAAGAAAACCATTTCTTGAGAAAGCAAGCAAATATATAGTTAAATAATGAAGTTTGAATAATTACAATCATTAAATTGGAAATTTCACGTAGATGTGAAAGTTTTTTTTTCAAATCATTTCGATAAATATCAACAGACTAACAGCCAATTTAACTATAAATTACTGTAACGTATTTTCAAAATGTTATCAAATAATATTTATTTTATTCCCTTCGGCCAGCATTACAATGCACTTTTCGACACCAATTATAGCAACCAATATAAAAAAAAGAATGCAGATGTCGCTCTGCTGTACAGTAGGTTACAAATGGGTTACTGATGGTGTTAAATTTGAATTCAATGATATAATATCATTGTATTAGAAAACAATTCTGAGGGACAACGGTCAGTCAGCACTCAGCATATGATATTACTAAGTATATTTGATGATATTATTGTGAATATTTATATATTATTTATATATTATAACCTATTTACGTGGAACCTTGTTTTAAATTTTCAATCCTTAGTTATAAAAGGTGAACATTCTATACATTTTTAACTACAAAATAATTATTACCGAAATTCGAACTCAAAATGCTTATAAAAAAAAATTGTGCCTACTTATTTTTAATATTTTTCAACTGTTATTGTAGCAATATAATATCAGGAGCCTTGCATTCATTTTCAGGCTTTTTTACCCAACAAAAACTGAAAAATTGAAAACTGACGAGGCCGTTTACAGCTCATAAAGAGTCATATTATTTTCAAAATTGTATGGTGTATAGAATATTTTAATATAAACATTCAGTGAAATTTTTTTTTTCATTCGTTTTTTAATCACAACAAAATAAGAAAATCGTTACATGAGAAATCGAGTGAATATCAATTGTTGTAAAAATATGAATTTCCACCGCTCATAAAAATTTAATTTGACTTTTTTGTAGACATTTTTTATTTGATAAAGTTAACTTTAAATGCTTATAAAAAAAATTGTGACTATTAATTTTTAATTTTATTAATTTTCCATTGAAAAAATATACTAGGAGCCATGTATTAAACTTTCCAGCTTTTTTAACCAACAATTACAATTTCATTGATATTTATAGAAAAAAAAAACTAAAATAATGGAAACTGAAAATGTCGGTAAACAGCTCAAAATAAATCAAAATATTTGGAAAATGTAATGGTGTATTGACAATGCTAATATAAACATAGATTCGCTTTCTTATCAGAAAAGATACTGTTGATGAAAATCCTAGCATTTTTACTGTCCTAAAAGGTGATGATGACAAGACCCAATAATTAAACAAATAAATTAAAAATAAAGATAAAACACATCATTGTAAAATCAATATATTCATCGCTCCGCTCGGAATCTAAAACGATACTAATTTCTACTATATTACAATTCTAATCTGCAACCAATGCAACCCTTTATAAACATATATAAACCTTTTTTATAAAATAGTTTTTAAAAAAAAGATAAAACTCCATGTTCCCGAAATAATAAGATAACAATAAAAAATTAGTTATATCCGAACAAAAACACTCTTACAATCTCTGTGTAAAAAATTTCTTAGTATAAAAAAAGAAGCGGCTCTAAAAGTTGTGATTTTATAGTTAAATTTTTAAACTAGTTACTTATTATATAGTATAATTTGCGTTAAAATAGTCTTCTAAATAATTGAACTCAGCTTGCGATTTTATAACACTTAATTATTAATACACTACTTATTTCAACGATAGTAGCCTATAATATTATTATGTACTCATTATGCTATAGTAATTTTACATTTTTTAATTAAGTCGTTCAATTATTTAGCAGACTATTTTAACATAAATGATATCTATAGTTCGAAGACTTTGCTATAAAATTATATCACAACTTTTAAACCACCTTTTTTTTTTCGTGGAGTTTGGCGGAGTGTTTTTGTTTGGTTAAAGTATACGTTATAACATTCAAAGTTCTAACACGATAAGACCAGATCTTATCTAAGTAAATAGATATAATTTTCATGGATTTATTTTTTTAAATTATATTTTATAAGTAATAACCATGTTTGTACAGTTACAAAAATGTTATTCTACATACGAGTATTAAACTTTTTAATTTAACATAACGTAGTTTAATGATTTTTGTACTACTTAAAAATTGTAAATAAATTAACTGTAAATAAAGTAGACCATAACATGAGCATAAAAGAAATCCTATGTTTATCATTCTATAGTATTATTAGTATATAACTCGAGATAAACATAAAATACAATTTAACAAAATAGTGGTAGCCAACAATCAATAATTGTTAACTTACCGATATTGTAAATTAAATCAAAAGAAAATCTTTCCTAAAAACTTCCTATCACTAAAAACTTTTAAGTATACTGATAGTTTTGAGACATTTCTATGTGGGGCTAGGATTCGTCGCTAAAAATCCCAATGGTCACCCATCCGGACATGGACGAAGCTTGACCTTAACACACATTAGCGACCGCGGTTAACCACCTCGCAACACCAGAACCCTGAATTGTTTTATATCGATACACATTATAATATAATATATATTCTTCAAAGCAGGTTAATATACTATAATTGTACTTACCTACATTATTGCACTTGTCGTGACGATAGTATTACCTGGTCACTACCATTTTAATTGTTATTTTTTCATAAAAATTACTCTTGTTAATATAACACAATCTCACATTTACATGTATAGCGCCAGTTCTTTTCGTGAATCATTTTTTTTATTTTTTGTTCTCTTAAAAGTTTTAACATGACGCGACACTATAACATGTGATGTATTAGACGTTTTTATTTGAATAATATTTACAGTTCTCACAACACATTACAGGTGCGACTTGTGTGTAGGTATGATGACACGGATCGATATTATATATTACCAATATTAACCAAGCAAAATAAAGATTAAATTTTGTTCACTAGATTTTTTTAATAAAACTGCCGCAATGCAATATCGCGCGTATACAAATAAACAAAACAAACTATAATATGCCTAAAAATAATGTTAAATAATAATCAACACTCCCAAAATAATAGGTACACATCACAATACAATTCATATTATACACAGTATGACATTATAGCAGTAATAGTAACGATAATAAATTAATACCTAATAAACATAATATAGTGAAAATAGTTTAATAGTAATTATAATTATAATAATAATCTATATAGTTATGATCTAGAGTAGGCAAGAAATATCATGGTAGGTATAGAATTATGGCGAGGAGGTGTGCGGTCAGTAAAATATAATGGCGAAACCGGTGGCGTTTATTGTTTTTGCTTAAAATGAACATCGCTCTCCCGTAGTGGATGTTTGACGGCTGCCAGAAGTCATCACCATTGCCGGAACGAAACTACCATAACGATCGCTGTTTGTAAAACGACCAACCCCGTGGTCGTGGTTCCGGTCATCCGGGCGGCACTGGAGGAAGGAGAACGAGCCACGTTCCCGTACTTGTCACAGATGTTCTGCAATGGTCAATATTATGAGTATTATTCAACAACACTACATAATATTGTATAGAGGTACTCGTTACATCCAAACGTCAAGTGAGTCAAACCCACACACAAAAATGTTATGGTTAGAACTACAGGCTACAACCCATAATGTACCGTTTCAAGGGGCTTTGTGTAGGCAATTATATTTAGTCTTCAACGATACGATTCTACGATGATTAAATTGTTTTTAGTATGAATAAATAATATGAAACATACATATAAATAAATACAAATACAAACATACAAATAAATACATTTGAAACATTATGATAATAGGCAGTCATGAACTCTACGAGCGTATGTAAACTAATATATAATTCATTGCTGAACCAGGTACGTACCAATAACTTATTAAAACTAAACAATTTTCTAATTTATATAGGTATATTATATTAACTGACGGGCTGACAGGGCGATGTGTTGGTATTGCTACCTAGGTATTTGTGATTATACGAACAGTAGATCTCCCCGAGTGGTGCCGACTTAGCTTAGTGTATAATTTAATTCTAAAGTATTAAAAAATGCAAAAAATTGGTCCACCGAAACCGTGCAGGTTCGAATTTCGATACATACTGTTCTAAAGATATACACAGGCTTATCGCATTAATAATAATAATAATTATTATTAAAACCAATAGCAACAATTTATAAACAAAAATAATCTCAAAATCCCTGTTTGAGATTATCCCCGGGTTGGATTATCCTCCTATATTTATCTTTTTCTCAACAAAATGTAGCCTATCTTCTTCTCCAAGGTCATCTAATCTATCTCTGTACCAAATTGCATCGCAATCGGATGAACGGTTTAGGAAAACATTTTTTTGTCTTTTATATAATATATGTATAGAATATATATATAGATAGATAGATAGATAAAAATAAATGTCTATGTGTGTGTGTCCTTAATGCATTCCTCAGATTAGACCTTTGGGAAGAAATTAGGGTAAATTAGAGGTCCGACCCGGGGAGGTGCTCAAACGGGGATCTCGAGATTTACGATCGAAATGTTTGTTTGTAAAACTGTTTCTATTGGTTTTAATAATAATTATTATTAAAGCGATGTGCCTGTTGACGCAGTGGCGGCACTTCTATGTATTTTAGTACAGAATGCCTCAAGTTCGAACCACGGTTTCGGAGGACCAATTTTTCGCATTGATTTTACATTTTTTTCTTCTTATTTCTTATTTTTTATTCTTCTTTATCCATGCATACGAATGTTTGGTTTTTTTTATTCATCGGATTTTGGTACGGTTAGATTAGGTTAGGGTTTTGTATTAATTGATTGCATAGGTTGAATTAAATAGAAACTACAAACTTGGTATAGCTTTAATACTTTAAAGTTAAATTATACACTTACGTACACCTACAAACAACATGGCGTCCGCGATCTACCGCAGGATATCACGGACAACGTCGGTCGGAATATACATTAAAATATAATATAATTTACACTTAAAAATATATTGCTTCCACAGCGTGTTACACCCAAAAGAAGTCGAACAATCAGAATATTTTTCTGGGTAAATATTCAGCTAGTTTTTATATAACGCACAAAGTGTATCAAGATGAAATACGAATGACATTCGTGGACCACGCGGTATACTCAAAATGTTTACCTATTACTGTTTTGTTAGTTGTCGATTTACGGCAGTTACTCTACAATGCTGTATTACATTATAAATAATAAATATAGGTACCTAGTGTTATATAACATACTTAATCAAAAGTCTTAAATCGTAAATTTATTGCACACGCGCATCGTTAAACATACTATTTTAGAATTTGAACGTTATATTTACACATACAAACAACTATTTTAAATTTATTGTTTATCTAAATTTTATATAATATGTAATTCATATGATATGTTAAATACTCACCAAAAGCGAAGATGCCATTTGACTAAGGAATTGACTGGCGAACTCTTCGGTCTGCTGGCCGCAAGTGGCCCGGACAATGCCGTGCACACACTGTAAATGTCCTCTAAATGATCTGTTGGCAAATGGAACAAATATATATTAGCAAATGGTTAATGAGTAAGAAAAACTATTCTTTGGACAATGATGTGTGTGTAAATATAAAAAAATCTTCGGAAAATACCCGTGTAAGTACTTATAGAAGGTACCTAAAAGTGTAAATGATGGATGTACCATTATGTACACAAATCCAAATATTCACTTATAAAGTAAAAACTAAATTATATTTATAATAATATGATTACATGGTACCAAGTGTAAATGATGGATGTACCATTATGTATACAAATCCAAATATTCACTTATAAAGTAAAAACTAAATTACCTATATTTATAATAATATGATTACATGGTACCAAGTGTAAATGATGGATGTACCATCATATACACAAATCCAAATATTCACTTATAAAGTAAAAACTAAATTATATTTATAATAATATTATTACATGGTACCATCAAAATAACTAAAAAATATGTATTATCTTCATATTATCTGTTATTGATAAAAATATATCAACAGCTATTAGTATAATGTTTGTAAATAAATTAAAAATAATAATATTTAATAAAAAAAAATGTATATTATGTTAAGCCGTTACGGTAAATAATACCGGTGAAACCTAGGATACACAAAATGGTTTGGTCAAACCCTGAATGATTTTTGTAGTTCGGACTTTTATAAAGTGAATTTTAGGATAAACAACCAGTGTTGGTAAAAGTTCAAAATTGTTTACCAATTATTGTGTGTTATTTTTACCCTTGTTTTATACTCGTAGATCATTACAATAGTATACGTTAACATAAAAATAATAATAATTATTATTTAAGAGGGCGCTACCCATGTATTTGTTGTCTCCGTCTTACACACGCACGACATACCAAATTTCCATTCGCTAGTTTAAATAGTGTGTTGTTGGTTTTAATATTAGAGTGAATTGACCCATTATCATACTATTAGGTAAGAATATTATCTATGCTTAAACGTTGGCGATTTTTAAATATTTTCATTTTCTAGTAAGATATGTGTACGTGAAATATCAAAAATTTAAAATGCTCATATCTCGCTTGAAAATATCGAATAAAAGCCAACGCTTAAGCACAGATAATGTTATTATCTAAATATGTTATAATAGGTCAATTCACTCTGGTATCAAAACTAACTGCATACTATTGAAACTAGTGAACGACAATTTGCTATTTCGTGCGTGTGTAAGACGGAGACAACAAATGTATGGGTAGCGTCCTCTTAAGTATATTAGCTACTACCTATAGTCTATACAAATAAATTAGATAGACACATTTAAATGATTATGAAATATTACTGCAAAAATTGAAAGTATTGTATGCAGCAAGTAATCAAAAATAATTCAATTCCGCAAAATAAATCATCACGATTAACAAAATATATTATATAACCCAAAACGTAATTTATAGAATATCATTGAACTAAAAAAACGCAAACGAAATATTTTAAAATCTATTTATTTAAAAGGTCTATTGGTTTCGTAGAAACATTTATTTCATGCAAACAATCTAAGAATTGATAATATTATTCGCATTAGTCATTACTTTTAAATTTTTTTTTTTTGGGGGGGGGGGTTGAGGCTTCAACTACTGTGGTTATTAGCCTGTGGAATTGTAGGGGGGATGGAACACTTGTGTGTTTGGCAGATTTTTTAGTGGGCACCCGTAGGTATCTGCCATGCCCGGGTGGGGGCCCTTCAACTCCGGACACTGTGACACTTGCCCGAAGAAAAATGCCACAAACGGCCGGGAATCGAGCCGGCATCGGCTGCGTCGCAATCGATGCCTTAGACCGCTCGGCCACTCCCTCCCCCCCTTTTAAATTATTATTTTAAATTTAAATTTTATTAACACTGTCTAATTTAAATAACGATAAACGAAAAACTTGGATAACGTTTTAATTCTGAGTAACGATAATCGCAAAAGTTGAATAACGTTTTAATTCTAAAAAACAATAAATGCAAAAATTGTGTAACGTTTTATTTGTAAATAAATAAGTAACATATAAAGGAATTTTTTTTCAAATACATGCCCTGTTAATAACACATGGTTGTACGGTTATAGCAGAGGGAGCGTTTAAAATAAAGTAAATTAGCAGATATCTATGACGACACTGTGAAAACCGACAGTAGCAATGTAAATTATTAGCAAAGTAATATAAATTATAACTTTCAAGACACATAAAATGCGTTTATTAAATTAAATATGTAGAATCGAAACGCATGCAGCGGTAAATAAATCAATTAATGATATTTATATTTATCATTACCACTGTAAATGATTGCTACTCATCGTGTTACATATTTTATTTGTTTACCTAAAATTTTTACTTTATTTACAAATTGCAGTCCTGTTTCACATTTAATATAATATACTCGGCGTTAACGAATGTCTTGCAATCGTTGTCTCTTCGGCAATCGTTACAATACGACAAATGATAACACTCACCCACACAGGCGGGCCAGGTTCTGTGTTATATGTTCAGCGTCCGTGATTGGCAACGCGGTCGAAGCCTCAGTTCCATCACTTCCGGTATGCTGCTCCTGGTCCACCATTAGGGAAGCCAACTCAGTCTGGTGTCGACGTCCACACTGCACATACTCGGTATGTACAGTGCGCAAGCAAGAGGCGTGTTTCAAGTATTCTGTGTATGGAATGTACGTATTGATGAAATGTTACATTATCAAGTAAATTGATATTGAAAATATTATGTTAATATATAGATACTGACCCTCCCTATAAGGGCTACCCTCGGTGCACAGCTCTTGCATGTCCATCGTCGGAACGGTGTACAGCGAATAAAAGGCTCCCCGCTGATCAGGCGTCATGCACCGGCGGGTAAACGCGTCCACGCACCGAAAATGTCGTTCCAAGTTTTTGTACCTGTAACGGTCGAAAAATCGGATAACACAAAATTATAAGCTGATTAAATGCACTTATTATTTCCAACTTTTTATATGCCATAATAAGTAGGTATAGTAAGTAATACAATTACAAATTATTCTTAGTTACTACTTACTACTTACTACCCACTAAAATATGTTTATAGAAAAGTACGTTCTTATCAGTGGCTTAGTCCCGGGTGGATATAAGGGGGGGGGATAACCGTATTATATCTGTATTATACATTCAAAGTTAATAGTTCATTCAAAAAATTGATTTTTTATTATTGAATCTATTATTTTTCAATTCTACATGAACTATTCATGCTCAAAAATGTATAATTTTCACTAATGTAGTAAGTACATTAAAATAATTGTTATTCAAAATAGCTATAGCTGGAATAAAACATTGTTTCTTTTATATTATTACATACAAATGTATGACTGAGTGACCGACCAGTAATATTTTTCACTATACAGCATGAAATCAATCAATCATCACACTTAGTAAAAACAATTTTGATTATATCTTTAATTTTTCACAATTATTTTTTCGGTGCGATAGACAAGACAAGTATAGTTTTGTAAAAATAAAACGGTTTAAATCGAATTCCCTTCATTAAAGTTTCAAGGTAATTATTACAAGAATGCCGAAACATCACACTTTCATTATTGGCGGTTGTATAATAACAAAATTATATAAAAAAACAATGTTTTCACGTGGAAAATAACCCAGTTAGAACAAAAGTCTACAAAAATACTAATGGCAATAAAGGTCCAAAAAAACTAAAAAAGTATATTTATTTTATATTATAAACTAAACCGGACACCCTTATTTTTAAAACTTTATCAAAACCTAAGTTATTTTGTGCGTTCTTTAAAACGGTGATGTGATCAGAATTTGGAGGCCCAACTGAAAGTTTTGAAGTTAAAGTAATTTTTGACTTTTGTGTTACTACTTATAGCGCAACGCGTGGACGTGTGTTTCACTGTAATATTGTGTGGCTTGGTAATATTCCTAACATCAGTCTTATTAAATTTCGGCTAATCTTTTAGTATCCTAGTGTGGCAACTGTACCTGGTAAGCTTAGAGAGCAGACCCTTTTATACTTTCAGAAACTCTTATACAGTAATCCAACAGACTCGTTATCATTCCATATATAATATGTAGGTACATGCGATTGCCATTATATGCTCTTTATAAATAGTCATGAACGTGCTCCATACTTAAAAATAATTGCAAACTTCAAATCTAAATCCAACTGTATTAATTCTGATTCAATCATCGTATAAATGACCTAAGTTCCAAAAAAAATAAAAGAGAACTAGCTTCTGCTGCATAGTAAGGTTAGAGTGTCACACGGAAAAAAAATTACTCTAATATTATAGTCAAGCAAATTATAATAGATATAACTATTTAATAGGTAAAATAACTAAAATGATTAACTTATTATGACTATATAAATATAGTTATTTCATATTTGTTATGGTAATGACTAACATTTACTATATTTTATAGTTTAACGCAGTTTTTAATGTTTGAATTAACTAAAAAATATAGTTAAAATATCATATTTCAGCTCAAATAACTATAATAACTTGACTATGATATTTTAGTAAATCTGACTAACCTTATAGCTATCCCTATAGCAATTATTAAAACGTACAGTCAATCCTACTATTTTTATAGTACAAACAACTGTTTTGTTTTTTCCGTGAATTTAATAGGTTCTTATATACTGCAATAGGCGAATTACCCCTTTCCCTGTCCCTGTCGACTTACAGATACACCACTGAATTAATGTACCTAATATAATAATAATAATAATAATTTATAATATTCAATTGTCGGTGGTCACTGACGGGCAATTGACATCTTGTAGTATGTCAGAGGCGGCTTCGGGTCCAACAGGCGGTGGCGTCAAATCAGTGTAGTTGAACAGTGGCAGCGTGCGGCAATTGATCACTCGGCCGTCATCGCAGCGCCCGTACGCGGCTTCGGACAGCTCATCAGCGTCTACCAGGAGTTGTTGTTTGTCGTTGCCGACGACCGCGGCGGATTGCGTCAAAGTCACCAGCGCTGCTACGCCTGCGGACAGAAACGGACAGGTTGTTATTCGTACGGCGATAATATCGTTATCAGTTAGGGCTTTCACTTGGGCACTGTCACTTAACAGATGATGGTAGGTTTAATAAGACAATAAATTAACGTATAAAGGTGTGCTATTTTTCAAGTCTAAATAGGAAAATAATTTAACTTTATAGCGTAAGTCGTTATGGCATCCTTAAAGTTATGAAAACAGAGTACCGACCGCCCTAGCCATTTTTTGGTAATGATATTTAATATGATGAATATGATATTTTTGGCACTCACATCCAGAAGTCCAGAAGTTGATGACGTGTTTGGTATTATTATAACAATAATTCGCTCACTTAATTCGAAGCTATATAATGCCGAATAGTCTGACAAAATTACGTACACAAATGTTCCCCTTTTAATTTTAAAGACGTGCTTAATTTACCTAGTTATGTTGGAAATATAAATCAAATACATTTACCAAAGTTGAAAAAAACATGATTTTTTTTTAAAAATAATTCACATAATGTATTTTAAGTTTACTTATGAATATGAGGAAGTAATATCGCAATGTGACAACGTAGTGAAGTGCCTAAATAATTAACTAAATAAGTTTACAAAATTAAAATCGAATCATTCCAAGTATGCATAATTTTGTCAGACTTCCAGCCTTCATGGTCATAAATTAACCAAATTATTGCTATATTGCAATATAATCCCATAAAAAATATCATTACCAATAAATAGATTGGTTGTCATTAAAAAAAACCGATTACTCTCACTAATGTCCATAATTTTCCACACACTACATACAATATTCAAAAAAAATACATGTTATTATATAATAATTTTATTTCATTGACATAATTCAAGCTCCCAGTTGATGTTAAATCCTAGAAAATTACCTTAAATCCGTCTGTGGTTAATTAGTTTACTACGCACAACAACTTCACTATAATATTATGATGTACGCAATTGTGCTAAGAAAAACAGTACAACTCAACTCCTGTACATTATTATTTAATCCATATTTCAGCTAAAAAAGCCAAATTGTTTTTATGAAAAAATTACATAAGTTTACATAACAGAATTCAATCGTAATCGTACGATTTATAGTATAATGCTATAATAGTCATAGGTAAAGTTATATTTACGCTGTATAATAATACCAAATCTTGCGACATTGTAGTTTAAAACACAAATAATATAATAAGCCTATAAACGAATGCACTTCCAACATAATTGAATAAATTAAAAAATATAAAATAGTATTCCTCAAATTTAAGTAGGTAGTCACCAATAGTCAATACAAATTTATAAAGAAAAGACAACTATCTTGATAACATATTATAGTAATGTAATTTTAACCAAATGTCGACTAAGATACCTTGAAGCTATTGATTAGAAACCTGACGGAACAAAATGTCGAAATCTCGTGGGACTGAAAATAAAGTCAGTTTTCAACAAATTTCCGGTTTGTACTTTGTACAAAATGTCAGTTTCGACTAGATTTAAGTGTATACAATGACGACAGCAGCAATTGCAAATAATACTCAATAAAAACACAACAAAACAACGTAGTTGGTGGTTGTATATTTGTATAAGTAAGCCAGTAAGGGCTTGGGTCCGATATCACAGGTAGTAACAATGTTAAAATTAAATAATTGTTTCAAAAACTGAATAACTCCACAATATGTCAATATGTCAAGGTTTTTTTTTTTGGTTATTTAGCAAATCTCCAGAAATGTAAATTTCTACTTATGTTATACAACAATAGTTTCCAACATATTTGACAGTATTTTTTCAAGTGTACTGCACGTATAAATCTTTAAGAGGACTTGATACCCACATGTATTGTCTCCGTCTTACAAGTGCGTAATATAGCAAATTCTACGATCAGCAGAACACGTGTAGCTCCGTTAGTTTGATTATTAGAGTGAATTGATCTCTTATAAAATCTAATGGTAAGATTATTATCCAGGCAACGTCTTGGATTTTTTTTATTATATTTTGATTTTAAAGCGAGTTATGAGCAGGTATTTTAAAATTCTAAATTGTTTGTACATCTTGCCCAGATAATCTTACCTTTAGATTTTATAAGAGGTCAATTCATTCTAATTTTTAAATTAACAGAGCTACATGTGTTTTGCTGAGAGTAAAATTTGCTATGTTACGCACTTGTAAGACAGAGAATGTAATTTCTTATCAATCCATCATATAGGTAATGTTTATTTTGTTTATTTTCCAGAACAAAATATTATAATTACTACACATTTACAATGTCAATTAAAAAAACTTTTTTATTGTACATTTAGATCATTAGAGGAACCACTATTTCAAATTTTAAGTTTATACGTTTTGTAGTCTTCGAGAATGAGTGAGTGAGTGAGTATAGTATGTATTTGGCTTATATGTATATAGATTAAGTTATACGCTATTATTTATTAAAATATTTATTACATTATGTTTATAAAAAATAACAATTAAAACACTGATACTAAATATTTCAATATTATTGAGTATACATATTATTACAATACCGTCGTCTTATACATTTTAATTAAATTTTAGATACATTATTAGGTTGTAGGACTGTATAGTTACTCAACTATATAACCAAAGAATATATCCATCTGTAGTTAATTGTATAATATAATGATTAATGCGCTATATAGTAATTCATTACGGGTGTTATTCCCATTTTATTGTCAGATTTATTGAATTAATTGGAGCATTAAAAATTTAATTTATTCGGATTCGATGTGCATATTCGTCAATAACTATATTTATACTTTTCATACAACCATAAAGTACGACATAAATTTGACTATACATAATACATCATAACCGCTTAACAACTTGATAGTGCAAGTGTAGTACCTACCATTGATTATAAATACTATTTATAATAATTAATGGTAGTATGAACTATAATCATCGAGGGAAAAATAAGACTTTGCAAACATATAAGGGCATTGAAGAACGAAAATATATACGAGTAGGTCAAAATAAAATGTTGCTTAGAAGTCTAAAAAATGATAAACTGTTTCTTCTGATATATAATATACTAATAAACTATTTTTAACTTACCAGTTTTACGATAGTAATAATAATAATTATTAATTAATTTAAATTTGAATAACTATAAATTTACGTTTTATTGCAACTTACATCAATAAATTATAAAACTATATATGGTTTCGTATAATATTTAATGCAGGACTACGACTTATTCCATTTTTTTTTTTCAATAAAATCTATTAGGTATATCGTTTAAGTTTGATGATTATAATAATATACTTTTAAAATATCTCTATAAATAAATATTGTATATCGTATATTATAATATGTGATTACAATTTAATTTCCTAATATTTCATGTGTTGGCATAAATTAGTTTTTGCTTTAAGCCAATGATGTAATTAAAACATATAGGTAAGTACCTACATTGACGTATTTGTATTAACCATTAGACAATGTTAGTCGATACTGTAATAATATATAAAGTATTATTTATGATATAATGCATGCTTGTAAGTTGTATTTTTATTGCATTGCAATAATTTTTATTAAATAACAAGTTAACTAGCGGTTAATCGATGTGATTTATAATGTTTGTTTTTACTGAAATATTATTGTACGAATAAATAGTATTTTTATATCTTGGTTTTTGTAATATAACATAAACCTTTAACAGTTTTGAAAATGTCCTTGATTAAAACATAATAATATAATTGTTTGTAAAATATAATTTGGTTTTAAAAATTAAAATACCTGTAACAATACCTAAGTTCCCGTTTTACAAATCATAGTTTAAACGATTGTAATACTACATATAAATGCTACAAATACTGCTACTACTTTCTTGCAGAATTTGTCAGGCGATATCATATTTTATATCGTTTTGACAGGTTTTGACATTTTGAAAAAGTGACTATGACAATATATTTTAATGATATTTTTTGGTTCTGCATCTGATAAAATTTCCAGATTAGACTCAGAAACACAAATGCTTATTTATTTGTCACACTGAAAACAATTCACCAGAATGCCGTCATATCAAATTTCTGATATATTTTTGAATAAAACACCGTTGATTACAATCCCCTTAATTTTGTTAAAGGATTTAAGTTGTGTAACATGTTTTCAATAAACTTTTTAAATGATTCATTCTTAAAAGATAATAATTTAATTAAAAATTTTAAATAATTTTAAAAATTTTAATCCTAAATCATTAAAAAGAATAACCATACAAATACAATGATGTCTCAAAGTTGTAAGATAAACAGCATTGTATATTTTTATCTAAAACATAATATGAAACATATTAAGTATAAAGTTTATATTATAATATACTTAATAGTAAAATGCATATTATTATAGAAGATAACTAAAAAAGCCTTTTTAAAACGAAATAGCAAAAATCAGAAAATTACATTCAACTATAATAATTATTTCATTAAGATTAATTTAAAACTTCAATATAAAAATTATAATATAATATAATGCGTCCTGTATACCTATTGTATAAATTATCAAGTTGAACGCGTATCACGAGGTTTTGATAGTTTTCCATGAATATTATAGATTACAATATGTGTGAAATATTAGTGATATTTATTCAATTTGTCTACTTATTAGTTACCTATTACTTATTACCACCTACCAAAATTACATTATTATGAATCAGCAAATTACTTTTACTCTTTAATTATTCGTCATTACGTCTTATCAGTAAATATAATAAAAATAATAATATAATTATTAATAAAATATAACCAGGTAAAACCACATGTGGAAAAGTTTTCAATTTCCTTGAGAGGCCAGTTCTTTAGTTTAATGTCCACCAATTAAGGTAACATGAAATTTCTATTACCTTTATTTTTAAAAGCGTATCTCGCACAGGCTATATTATATGATAGTGACGTTGCTAAAGCATACATTTTTATACTATATTTTCTTCCTTTTTTTATACACCGTGTTTACACAATGTCAAATAATTTGTATTGTTA